GGGTAGGGGGTCGGGACGCGGCGCGACCGCATTCTTCGCCTTTTCTTCCTCGGGCTCATTCCGGCCGATCGATACCTGCGCGGGACCTGCCCCCGCCGCTAATATCTTTTTAATGAGTTCGCGGGGCTTAGAGCGAGCGCGATCTGCCCTCCAGGGTGGATTTTCCCCCGGCAGATGTTTCGGGAGGAGGAGGCGCGCGGGGGCCCCCGGGAGGGGAGACAAATCTCTCCCTCCGAGGGGCGAGGGCAGAAGACTTTCTTCTAAAGTTCAAAAGAAAGACGGGCTTTCACTCGGCCCCCAAAAATGTATTTCCCGGCGGACAATGGGCTCCTTTCTGCGCCTCGGAGGGCCCGCGGGGCGGGAGGGGCGGGGACCCGGGCGCTCGGCCCCGCCTGGCCGACTCGCGCCCCCCCTGCACCCGAGTCGGGGCGGCTGAGTGAGGGCGCGGGAGCCGGGCACCCGGCTTCCCCTCGGAACGCCCCGCCGAAGCGCGCAGTCTGGACCGGGGCGCCCCCGGGCTGAGCAGGGGCGCAGAGGCGAGAACGAAAGCGCCCTGCGGGCCGGGCCGCGGGGCCGGGGGGAGCCCTGGGCCGCCCCCCACCCCGAGTCCCTGGTCTCGGGGGGGGGGGTGTTGCCGCCGGGCCCCGAGGGGCGCGCGCCGGTGCGTCGAGAGGGGCTTGGGCCGTGGCCCCCGTTCTCTCCACGCTCCGCTCTGTGCGGGGCAACAGGTAGATACGAGCCGGTCTCGGGCGGCCGCGGGACCCTGGGTCCCTCTTCACCGGCGCCGGGCCGGCCACCCCTCGCGGGGCTGCCCTGCCCTTGCTCCCTCCCCCCCCCCCCCCCCCCGCCACCCAAGTGTCCCTCAGTCCGTGGGTCCGTCGGCCTGCCGCCGATCCCTCTGTCCACTCCCGTGGGCTCCGGGAGAAGGGGGAGCCCAGGCCACGCGGATGACCTCCGAAGAGACGCGGCCGATTGATTCGTTCCGCCCGGAGCCCGGGAGCGTGAATGGGGGCCGGGGCGACGACGGCGGCGGCGGCGGGGATAAAGATGTTCTCCCCGCGAGGGGGAGGAGGCGCGGGGCGGGAAGCGGGGCCATTCACTCCTGGCCCGGCCCCTCGGGAAGCTGCGCCGAAGAAAGAGGGCCGGGGCCTATTCAAGCCCTACGAGCCGCCCACAATGGACCGATATACTGGGGGCCTCTCTATTAACGCCCATGAATATTAAAGAGATCTCGGAACAGCGGCCCGCAGGCGGGAGGAGGGTGGCGCCTGCGAGCTCGGGCCGGGCCAGGGTAGGGTAGGGGGCTGCGGCGCCGACACACTCCTCGCCTGGGCCCCGCGGAAAACCACGCGGCTCATCCGCGGAGAAACTCCGGAACGTGCCATGTCTTTCTTCCCTCGCATTTCAGGGCGCGGCCTTGCGCCCCGACTCCGGTGGGCCCTGCCCTTTCCCTGGGGCGCGCGGTTCAGGCGGGTCCGGGGCTGGACCAGAAGCACAAAATTTGAGAGCGCACGGCGGAGGCGCGCGCGGGGCCGGCGGGCGCACGCGCTGGAAGGCAGCCCCGGGCGCTGCTTGCCCCACCCCCTGCCCCCAGCACCGCTCCCCGGGTTTTCGGGTCCTGGGGAAAGGAATCGGGCTCCCTAGGCGCGGTCCGAACCCTCAGTCCTTTCACCTTCTGACCCGGACCTGGGGTCCAGGTCCCAAATGCTGCGCCCGTGGTTGGAGGTACGCACAGACCCGAGCGAGGGCTTTTCCCCCGGGGGGGGGGGGGGTGGCCCGGGGAATTGGCAAAAATCCTCCGGGCTTTCAGAGGAAAGTGATCTGACCCAGAATGGGGCAAGGTGGGAAGGAACCTCAGTTTGCAAAGTCCAGCTTAACCCGTTGTGCAGACAGGGACACTGAGGCCCAGACAGAAAGGTTGTCCCAAGGACGTACAGAAGCCCCCAGCCTCCTTTCATCTCCCGGCGGCGCTCTCCGACGTGGTCTCCTACGCCCGGGCGCGTTTCTCCCTCTACCACGTCCTCGCAGAAGCTAAGGTCCAGGCGTGAGTGAGGGCACCCCCAGGCTCGGACTGCGTCGGCCCCCTCCCACGGAACCCCCGGTTCAAGCCTGAGCCGGTGTGGCCCTCCGGCAGCATCTGCAAGGGACTCGAGGTTCCGGGACCTCACCCGCGGGCTGCGCTTGCTCCTCTGCGGCGCTGCCCTCTGCTGGCGCCAGGCCCGACGGTCGCGCCTTCTGCCCGGTGCAGCCTCCTCTGGGCATCAGCCTCCAGGCGCACCCGGGCCCTGGGTCTGAAGGCCTGCGGTGGCCGCCTTCTTTACCCTAAGCGCGGATGCGGACACCGGGATGCCGGGGACCACTGGCCCGCACTGGGCAGGCGGAGGCCGGGGGTCCACGGCGGTCAGGTGCGAGGATGGCCTACCGAAGGCCAAGACCCCACGGTGGAAGGAGTTCTTTGCCAAGGGGTGGGGAGGGCAGTGGCCTCCGAACGGGAAGGCCAGGCCTCCGACCTTCCGTGCAAGTCCCCCGTGCTGCGCAGGAAGCCTGGAGAGTCCCATTCCTCCAGCTAATCCAGAGCCCAAACCATGCCCCCAGAAAACTCGGCTCCGTTAACGGAATCTGAAATTGCAGGGAGGGAAGGAGGTGTCCCTATGATGCCCCTCCCGCGTCTAGGGCTGGGGTCGGGGCTTGAGGCTAACCCCAGAAGTCGGCAGAGCCTGCAGGAAGCCGTGGCCTCGTCCGAGGCTCAGCAGCTCCTCGTCTCCGGAAAGAGGCCGAGAGACACCGTGCTGGCGCTGCGGGTGCCTGGGAACCTCAGCGCCGAAAAAGCACCCTGGTGGAATGGGGGAGGGAGGAAGGGGGAGAAGAGGGAGGCCAGAAGAGAAAGAAAGAGAACTAGGAGGCCGGAAGGACGGAGTGCCCAAGGCTGCGAGCCTCCCTCGGTGGCAGCCGAGCGGAGAAGCTGGGAGGCCGGAGCCTCAAGCCCCGCGCACACCGCAGCCTCGCCTGGGGCTGCCAGCGGTTTCGGAGAACGTTCGCTTTGGAGCCCGGCTGCTCCCACTCACTGTCCGGGGACCCCTCTCAGCACCCCCTCCCCCGGTGCTCATCAGAAAAGCCTATTCTGGACAACGCGCGGCTGGCGGGGATTTCCGTCCCTAGCCCCCCGAGAGGCGGGAACCGGTCGCCCACGACGCCGTTTCGGGCAGGGCGGCCCCAGCGTTGGCCGCAGCCCCGCCGCGCAGCCCGTTCCGCGCGAGGAAGAGTTTCACACTCGGCCGCGAGCAGCGAGCGGGGCGGGAGGAGCGGCCCGTTTGAAGCGAAGCGCCCGGCTCCAGCAGCGCCGTCTGCAGCGGGGGATCAGCGCGGCCTGCGTCCTGGGGCCTGGAGCTCCGGAGAGCCCGGGCCGGGCCGGGCCCGGCCGGGAGGGCCTGGGAGCGGAGGGGAGGGGTGGGGAGGGGAGGGGAGCGCCGGGCCTGCAGGGCCGGGAGGAGCTGCGCAGAGCCGGCCTGGGACAAGTGGGTGAGCGCGGGGCCGGCGGGGCCCGAGGCCAGGCGTCCCCTCCGGCCCAGTCCGGTCCCCGGAATCCGAGCGAGCCTCTCCGCGCCCCCTCCCCTGCTCCGTCCCCTCCTCTCCTCGCCGCGGGCTGAGCCTCCCTCCCAGCCCTGCGCTTCCCACGGGGAGAGGAGGAGGAAGAGGAGGGGAGGGGGGGCGAGAGAGGAAGGGCCGGCGAGGGGCGGGAGGAGCGAAGAGGGACAATTCGGAGCGGCCTGCGCGCCCCCGCCCCTTGAGCTCTCGCGGCGAGGGCTCCTCGCGCCCGGCCGGGTACAACAAGTCTGTCCGACGTCAGGGGGTCATTAATAACCAATTAGGAGGGTCACTGCGGCTCCTATAAAGGCGCTGAGATTTTGCCAAGGGGAAGACCGTCCGGGCCGGGTGTGCGAGAGGCGAGCGCGCGTCCGAGAGCCCCTCGCCGCCGTTTCTCGGCAGCCACCCGCCTCCCCCCCCCCCCCCCCCCCCCGCACCCACCTCCGCCTCCACCCCCGTCTCTCCGGCCCTCCGCGCCGCCTCTGCCGTCTCTGCTGATTCCTCTCCCTCTGCGCCTCGCTCCCCCTCGTTCACTTTCCTCGCAGCCCGCCTCGCCTCCCGCTCCCTCCTGCGTCCTCCCCCTCCTCCTCCTCCTCCTCCTCGTCCTCGTCCCCGTCCTCCCCCTGCTCCTCTTCCTTCTCCTCCTCCAGCACAGCCCTCCTCTCTCGCTCCTCCGCTCCCCTTCTCACCCGCCGCATCCCCGCGTCGGCCCGGCCGTCCGTCCCCGGCGCCGGCGAGCCCCGGGCCGCCCATGATGGGCTCCGTGCTCCCGGCGGAGGCCCTGGTGCTCAAGACCGGGCTGAAGGCGCCGGGGCTGGCGCTGGCCGAGGTCATCACCTCCGACATCCTGCACAGCTTCCTGTACGGCCGCTGGCGCAACGTGCTGGGCGAGCAGCTCTTCGAGGACAAGAGCCACCACGCCAGCCCCAAGACGGCCTTCACCGCCGAGGTCCTGGCGCAGTCTTTCTCCGGCGGTGAGTCGCGCCGTCGACGCCGGTCGCGTCCCCTCCTCCCGGCGGCCCCGGATTCCCCGCCTGGCGACGCCCGGGGCGCGGCCGGGACCAGGGGCGTCGCGGCCGCTCGCGCCAGCCTGGGCGCTGCAGGTGCTCCGCGGGCCTCAGTTTCCCGGAAGCCGAACCGGGGCGCGAGCGGCGAGGCCCGGGCGGGGCGGGAAGCAGCCGCGTCGAGGCTGCGGGGCCCGGCGCCCCCAGGCTCTCCCCCCCCCCCCCCGGCCCGCCCCTCGCCCCTTTGAGCCGGCGGGTTCCCGGCATTTAAAGCCTTACTAGGCGTGTAATAGCAGTTGACTCAAAAAGAAGGGGTTTAAAATTCATTTAGTTAACTTGGGCTTGACCCGCGAAAGTTCCCACTTAAACCGAGAACTTTAAAAGGGGGGGGGGCTGGGGAGGGGGCGGAGGGCGGGCGGGCCGGGAGAGAAAGCCGCGGAGGGAGCGAGGGAGAGAAAGAGAGAGCGAGAAAAGTTTCTTTTCTTTAAGATGTCTCAAGTTCTTACTCCTCATTCATCAACCTGCAAACAATATCTTTCCCCGCCGCTGGCATCTCTGCGCGTCGCCCTCTCTTCCCCCGTGACGATTTCTGTTCCTCTCTTAATTTACCGTGCAGACTAATTCCACTTCCATTCACGCTATGTCAACCATCTAATCCCCCCTTTTTGTAAGGGGAATTCCTCGGCCCCTTTTAAACAAGTCCCCTCCGCACTGAGCTACAATTTACTGCTACAGCATTCTTCCCGGGCTAATGAATTTAGAATTAGCAATTTCTTTCGAATGGAGCCGAATGAATGCTATCACTTTAACAGCGTGACAAATTGCCGGCCGCGCCGCAATGGACACCGTTTAACCCCCCCTTTCAGCCGGCCCGCTCGCCGGCTATCTTCCCAGGTAGCTTAGAGGGGAACCTTGTAAGACATGGAAAAGGCCCCTGTGCGCCTGGCCGCCCCCACTCCGGCTGCCGGGCCCGGCGGGGGGACCCCTCCCCGGGGGGGGGGGGGGGGCTGGGGGCCTCCCGGCTCTTTCCCGCCCAGAGGGGCGACTTCAGGGCTCGCCTGGATCCGGGCGCCGCCCTTTCTGGCGCCCCGGATCCCCGGCGCGGAGGGGGACCCAGGCGGGCCCCGGGTCACACGCAGCGCGCCGAAGGCGGCCCGCCGCAGCCCGAGTTTCTTTGGACCTTCCGCCGCCTCCCGCAGCCTGCGGTCTCTTTCCAGCGCTGTCGCCAGTCCGCCCCGAGGTGAGGGGCCTTCCGCGCCCCGAGAAGCGTGAGAGCCGCTGGCCGCCTCCGGGGTCCTTCCACGGCGCCCTAGGTTCCGTGCGGGGAGGCACAGTGAGCGCTGAGTGCCGGGGGCCGAAGGGCGGTCTCGTCTTGGCTACCGCCTCCTCCTGGGAGCTGGCCTCAGTTTACCCATTTGTAAACCCGCGCGCTGCGACGGGCACGGTAGTTCTTGAACTCTTCCAGGGTGGAGGGCAGGGAGGTTGTGGATGCTTTGAGAATTAGTGGAGAGACAAAAAAAAAAAAAAAAAGGCAAGGAAGAAAGAAAGAAAGAAAGAAAAGAAAGAAGGAAAGAAAAGCGTCCCTAGAAATGAGCCCCAAAGCATCTCTTGCTTTGGAAGGTACGGAGGGTCCCCCGGTTGCAAATGGAGGAGACTCCACCCTGCGCCCTCCACTCCTCCGCGCGCGCACACCCCAGTGACTTCTGCAGAGTCATTCCAGGGCGGGCCTGGGGTTGGTCTGGCCAGGCAGGACGGGCCTGGGTCCCTGGTGGGGAAGAGCCGGCCATCCCCTGCCTCAGGCTCTGACCGGGTTCCCCCTGCCCCGGCGGCGGTCACAGAGGTGCAGAAGCTGTCCAGCCTGGTGCTGCCGGCGGAGGTGATCATCGCGCAGAGTTCCATCCCCGGCGAGGGCCTCGGCATCTTCTCCAAGACGTGGATCAAGGCCGGCACCGAGATGGGCCCCTTCACCGGCCGCGTCATCGCCCCGGAGCATGTGGACATCTGCAAGAACAACAACCTCATGTGGGAGGTAGGTTCCAGCCGGGGGAGAGGGGCTCGGGCGGGATCCTGGAGTCAGGCAGACGCCGCTTGGTCCCTGGCGCCCCAGCGCTCCCTGAAGCCCGATCCTGCACCTGTATGCCTGAAGGAGCCTCCCCAAACCACTCGCGGGAAGGCCATTGTTTGGAAAATCTGACCCTCCTCCCCCCTGGCCAACCCTTGGGACTGTTGTTGGCCCCAACTCGCAGAGGAGGGCACTGAGAGAGAGCAGGAGAGGCCGATGCTTGCCCAGGGTTTTGCCGACTGCTGGGAAGGGAACCCGGAGGAAGCTGCAAGGAAAACCCCTCAGAGCCACCCGGCCTGGGTGTGAGGGTGGCCAGCATGGAGAACCACAGGAGCTGTGGGTTCTTCCTAGGAATGGGCTTCTCAGCCCAGGCAGAATGATGACAACTGGAAATGATCAGGGACAAACTGGTGTTGAGTCAGCTTTCCAGGTCAGGGGCCCACATTCCACCAGACTATCTCAGCAGCCCTATGAACTATTATTCCCATTTTACAGAAGGAAACTGAAGCCCAGAGAGGCTTCCATTCATCCCAGGCCCTCTGACCCTTCTCTCCTCCGCCAGGGAGGACAAAGCCACTCCCCCAAACAATTCCGCCTCCTGGGGGCTCCGGCCCCCCCCCCCCCCCCGCAGCAGCTGCCGGGGGTTCGGAGCACCCTCTCCCTGATCTCATTCCCCCTCCCTCCATGGATCCACCCCCCAGCCCCCACCTCACCGTCCCTGGAGGAGCCCAATATGACACATCTTGCTTCTGGTCACAGGAGCAGGAGGAAGGGAACAGGGCGATGGTCCAGAAGCCTCTCCTGACTTCACCTCCTCCCTCCCTGGAGGCCTGGGCCAGTAGTTACCGGTCCCATTTGTTGCTAGGTTAGCAAGCTGGGGTCTAGCTTGGTCTCTGACTATTCTTGGTAGGTCCCACAAGGGGGGTTAGGCCAGGCCAGGGTGTCACCGTGAGCCAGTCTTCCCTCTCCAGGCTCCTGTGTCCCCCCCCTCTGAGGTCCTGGCCAGTGCTCTCCGCTGCTTTGGGGAGCACCTCTGCATCCCCAGGGGGTTAGCTGGATACCACTTTGTCCAGTCGGTGATCCCTGGAGACCCTTCTCTTCTGGGGATGGGGAGCCCATGGCAGCAGGGGCCGCGGGGCCCGGGAGACCGACTCCCTGTTGGTCACTTCTAGCTGCCTGGCCTCCGGAAAGTCACTGCGCTGCTCCGAGCCTCCCTTTTCTCAGCTGGAAGACTGAGATGAGAGCCGCTTCCCCTTCCTGGGGCCGTGGCGAGCACGGGGAGAGTGTGTGTGTGTGGATCTGCCGGGCCTGGGCCCGGCCACAGGTGGCGCCTGCGACACAGCCTGCCTCACTCCGTCCCTCTTTTCCCTGCGGGCAGGTGTTCAACGAGGATGGCACGGTGCGCTATTTCATCGATGCCAGCCAGGAGGACCACCGGAGCTGGATGACCTATATCAAGTGCGCGCGTAACGAGCAGGAACAGAACCTGGAGGTCGTCCAGATTGGCACCAGCATCTTCTACAAGGCCATTGAGGTGAGCATGTGTCCTGTTGTGTAAGGAAGCGGTGGGGCGGCCGGGAGAAGGTGTGCAGGCAGCCGCGTCCGTCCCGGGAACCGCAGGGGATGGAAGGGTGTTGCCTTCGGGCCCCGCTGGCCCTGCTCAGGCTGTACGACCGGGGCCCACGCATCGCGGTCCCTGGGAGCACGAACTTCGTGGCAGGTTTCCTGCTGTGGATCAGAAAGGACAGAACTTGTGACTTGATGCCCTTGTGGATGTCACGAGCACCTCAGCGGGTGAGGTCCTTGGATAGCTGCTTAGGGTGTCCTGGGGTCCAGAAGCCAAGAGATACGGAGAGCAAGACGCGGGAAGGCAGCCTGGGGAAAACATCTGGATGGGAGGGAGGGCACTGTGTCTGCGGCATTTTAGCTCCTTGTCCTGCTCGCGTGGGATGCTCATGACATGTGGATCACGACTCTGGTCTCAGCTATCACGTATTGATCCCTTGCTGTGTAAGGCTTCTCCTAGGCTCTGTGTATGCATCCTCGCTTATAATCCTTGTACATTTAATCCACGAGGGAGGATTCCACGAGGAGGAAGCTGGGTCTCACTTGGTGGCAGACGGATTCAGGAGCTCTCACCGAGCCTTGCGGGGGCAACGTTAGTGCGAATGCCCGTGTGGAGTGGAACTTCTTGGAGGCGAGAGAAAGGGAGAGAGAGCAGACACATAAATATCACCTCCCATGGTTGGGGGCAGCTAAGCCAGACCCAGGTCACGGGAAGGTTCGGGAGGATGGGAAAAGGAGGTGTTCCCAATAGGGCAACGCTTGGGCAGAGGCAGAAAAGCTGACGGTGTATGGGGAGGGGCTGACGGCACAAAGCAAGCCAACTGGTGGCCGCCATGATGGCCATGCTGTCGGGACCCTCCCTGGACAGTGTCCCTTGGTAGGAAATTTGCTTACCATCTGGCCCGGAGTGGAACAAGCTGTCCTCCTTCCCCATGGCAGATTGGTGGTGAGGGCTGTGTGTGTGTGGGGGGGGGGGGGACAGCAGGGGGATGTTCCCCCCACACTTGTTTGGACCTCATTCTTCCACTCTGCTAGCGGAAAGGGGCAGTGTCCCTTAGGGTGGGGCTGGGCTTGGTTGAGTTTTGGAGGACTCTGAAGGAGAATGATTTCCCTGTAGTCCATTTTCTCCCAGGGACTCGGAGCCCCAAGTCTTTCTAAGGCCTGAGGGGCACTGGGGCTTAGCAGCTTCTGGAACCGGGGTCCAGTTGTCCCTCCGTCACCAGGCTCCAGGAAATCTCCCAGAGATGACAGCAGGATGGTCTTTGCCTGGGTACTGGTGTGGCCGGGAGTGGGTCCCAGCTGAAGGGTGGGCCCTGGTGCGGGGGCCAGGAAGTGGAGGGGGACCAGGAGGGTGAAGCGAGGTGCAGTTTCTGGACTGGGGTTCAAGTGAGGGGGAGCAGCATGGGGCTGCGTGAAGGTAGGGCTGAAGGTGGCCTAGGCCCAGGACAGAGGTGGCCGCTGTGACCATGTGGCTGGGCCACCACTCTGTGGGAACAAGGACCCCCTCCCCCCCCCCCCCACCGGCTGGCCTCAAATTGGCCTCGGGTGTGGCTGAACCTCACTGCCAGCAGAGAGCACCCCCTGCCTCTTCACCCCTCCCACCCTCCCAGCCTCACTCGCACATCCTCCTACTTGCGCACTGAGTCCCGGCCATCCCGCTACAGAAGAGACCGGGGACGCACACCCTTCGTGTTCCTCGCGTGCACACACATAACACGAGCACAGGTGCACACGCGCGTGCGCATGAGAGAAAATAGGAACGTTCACACGATTCGGGCCAAAGGACTCCCGGCTGGGACAGACTCGGGGGCCTCTCAGTCTCACCTCCCGGTGTGGGTGTCCCTGCCCAAGGCTCACCAGAGTCAGGAAACATCAATAGAAATTTCTACAGAAATTCCGAGTCAGAGGGCACAGTGGCTGAAGGGTATCTCCAGGGAGGAATCTGAATTTATAAGATCAAAAAAATAAAACCCTGCATTTCATCAGGATTTAAGGTGAGAAAAAAGGATAAGGGGAAGGAAATCGTATCACATATGATACTGTGAGCTAAACACCACTGGTTTGCCGTTAATGCTTGCCCAGGGTTGGCAAGCCTACGGAGGGGACTGTTTGGGTGAGGGACAAGGAAACACAAAATGTCACTTTACTTTCATTTAAACTTTAAAAAAAAAATGTTTATTTTTGAGAGCGAGAGAGCACATGAGCGTAGAAGCAGGGGAGGGGCAAAGAAAAAGAGGGAGACACAGAATCTGAAGCAGGTGCCAGGCTCTGAGCTGTCAGTACAGAGCCCGATGTGGGGCTCGAACTCAGGAACCGTGAGATCATGACCTGAGCCGAAGTCGGACGCTCGACCCACTGAGCCACGCAGATGCCCCTCATTTTACTTTTAATAAATGAAGCTGGACACCTTCCTCGTGATGGCAGTCTTCTCAAACCATTGTGTGGCAACGTGAGATTCCACTCATGGGACCTGCACACCCCAGGTCTGGACGGGGGTGACCACCCACCATGCCTCAGGGCAGAGGCCAGCGCTCCCTGGCCCTTCTAGGCTCCACCAGAAGAAATTGCTGCTCCCCCGGGCCACTCCCCGAAGCCTCTGGAATACGTGGGCCATTTGTTCTGCGCGTGTGTGTGAGTCGGCCGAGGAGCTGGGCCTTGGCCATGATCCATTGTCTTACTCTTTCTGTCAACTCAGAGCTGCTGTTTATTTTCTGTAACGGGAACCCATTACTTGCCCCCCAAAACGGGAAGGAACATCTTTCTGCAATAAACAGCATACATGCCGCTGCCCTCGAAATCCCCACAAATACAAAATAGTAGCCCTCCAAATGGGGCTGAGGTTTCAAGGCCAGCCAGTCGGTGGAGAACCCCCAGGCGGGTTTGGCATCTGGCTGCTATTCCTGGGCCATTCTCCTCATCGATTTGGCCACAGAAGCATTTACTGGAACGTCAGGTGCCTAAAATGACATTTCTAGAAAGCGCCGGGCACATAGCAAGTGACCACTCAGTGTTGAGCAAGTAAGTCTTGCTGCAGGGGATGGGGGCCTGGATCTAAGGTCTGAGCAACTTTTTACGAATCGAGACCTTTCACCTCTGTGAGACACTATCACTGTCCCCTGTCCCCGTCTTATTATTTTTTTCTAAGGTTTATTTATGTATTCCGAGAGAGACAATGACAGTACGAGCAGGGGCGGGGCAGGCAGAGAGGGAGACAGAGAATCCCAAGCAGGCTCCGGACTGCCAGCGCAGAGTCTGACGCGGGGCTCGAACCCACGAAATTGTAAGATCGTGACCTGAACCGAAACCAAGAGTCGGATGGATGATGCGCAGACTGAGCCACCCAGGCGCCGCTCACTGTCCCCGTTTTAATGATGATAAAACTAAAGTTCAAGGAGATCGCAGGAGGTTGGCGAGCTGTGATTTGAATCTAGGCCTGTCTGACCTATGCCGAGACCCCGAGCGACTGCACAGTGGGCGAGCATGTCATGGGGCCTCCCTGGCCAATATGTATTTGCTGGAAGTCTATTAATTGGTGTGTCAGGACATCTGTGGCACAATGGAAATTGATATTCGTCCAGATGACACGGAGATCCTTCTAGACGAGGGCTTTTGCGCCGCCCGGGGAAAGGGAGGGAGGGCCTCAGAGCCTCCTGGGAGCATGTTCAATAGTGTGGCATAAATTTTTATTGGGAAAACAACCCCAAGCCGGTCAGTTTCCACTTACAATAAAAATTCAGAAATGGGGCAGAACAAAACGTCTGGGCTGATAGGGAAGGTTAAGAAGCACAAGTTGAGAGGGGCGCCTGGGTGGCTCAGTCGGTTGAGTGTCCAGCTCTTGATTTGGGCTCAGGTCACGGTCCCAGGGTCATGGAATTGAGGCCCGTGTCAGGCTCTGCACGAAGCGCGGAGCCTGCTTAAGATTCTTTTTCTCTCTGCCCCTCTCCTCTCCTTGTGCACTCTCTCTCTAAAATAAAATAAAAATTAAGAGCATGAGTGGAGCGATTATGTAATTTGTCAAGGAAAGACTCAGGCCCCGATATTCCCCCCAAGTCTTGGCAACGTAGATTTTATGGTACGCGACTCGGTTTCTTTGGGAATTATTTGCTTTATTGTGTGTCCTGAGCCAGCGCCTAACGTCCAGAAAAGTGAATAAATAGCTGATTCTGGTTCTCCGGGCTCCAGTGGAGAGTCCTGCCAGGGCCACGCCAGAGTGTTGGCCATAAGACACCACGGAAGGATCTGGAAGGCCTGACGGGCACCATGGCTGTTCTTTGCTCTCAGGCGGTCAGCTGCCGGGACCCTGGGAGTCTGTGGACAATGGCGCCAAGATCTCAGGGAGGAGGCTACGGGTCCGGTCTGAGGGTCTCCTTGTCTCCGTCTCTGGGGTTATTGCATGAGGGGTACCAGTGAGCAAACGGAGACTAGATGTCTAGGTCAGGGGCTGCCGCTGGCTTCCCAGAGCTCGGGAAAGATCTGAGAGGCTCCACTTCCGACCTTCCCTAGTGCTGGTGGCTTCTCCAGATCCGGCGAGCTGTGTTGTTCCCAATTCCAGTAGATTCTTCTTCAGAGATTTTCTTTCTTTTATGTGTATATGTATATGTATATGTATATGTATATGTATATGTATATGTATGTGTGTGTGTGTATGTGTGTGTGTGTATGTATATATATATAGCTTGAAAGTAATATTTGTTCATTGCTTTTCTAAAAATCCGCTATCTCATCTAGAAAGCAGAATTCACTCTGCTCCTCACGAACCTTAAGTCAGCATGTTTTAATCGTCTCAAAATGACAAACCCTTCTGCGGAAAGAAGCGTAGAAAACTGGCGACGGTGGCTGGGCGTCCAGGATGGGAGGGAGAGTTACTTTTCGTTATATACCCCCCCTTATGTGTTGACACGTTTTGGCCAACGTGTCTGCATCGTGGTTTCAATTTCTGAAATTAACTAGTAAAATTAATTTTCGGACGTTTAAAAAATGTGTTGGTAAATACACGCGTCACTCTGTATCAGAAGTCGATACTGAAGCTTTTATTTAAAAAATAATATTCCTGGGGCGCCTGGGCGGCTCCGTCGGTTAAGTGTCTGACTCCTGATCTCGGCTCAGGTTGTGAGCTCACGGTTCGTGAGTTCAAGCCCCGCGTGGGGCTGTGCGCTGATGGCGTGGAGCCTGCTTGGGATTCTGTCTCTCCTTCTCCCTGCTCCTCCCCTCCTTGTGCTCACTCTCAAAGTAAATACACGAACTTCAAAAAAAAATTTTTAAATAATATTCCAAACAACCATTTTTTTTTTAATTTTTTTTCAACGTTTTTTATTTATTTTTGGGACAGAGAGAGACAGAGCATGAACGGGGGAGGGGCAGAGAGAGAGAGGGAGACACAGAATCGGAAACAGGCTCCAGGCTCCAAGCCATCAGCCCAGAGCCCGACGCGGGGCTCGAACTCACGGACCGCGAGATCGTGACCTGGCTGAAGTCGGACGCTTAACCGACTGCGCCACCCAGGCGCCCCTTTAGATTTAAGAACAATCGCTATTGTCTATTACAAGGAGAAGGCTGGTGTTGACTTAGATCCTTGATTCCTACACTGAGAGTCTGGAGGTAGAGGCGAAGATCAGGGCGACATCCGCCGGGGGCTTGCTGAACTTCCCATGCACATCACTGCCCTCCCTGGGGGTGCCCCCGCCCCAGCCAAGCCGGAAGCAGTGACCCGATCTCGGGCTCCCGTGCTTGGCGCACGCGGCCCCAGCCTGTGCTCTTGTCGGGTCACCGAAGGCAAAGCCACCAGTCATCCTGGGCTTTCACTGTGCCAGCGGCCAGAGCCACACTGCAGGCTCTGTGGGGACCACTGGGGGACCTGATGCTCCGCGGAGCCGTGACCCCGTGAGACCAGAGCAATGGTGCTGTCCCTGTTTTACAGTCGAGGAAACTGAGGCCCGGCGACGGAAGGCAAGCTGCCCGAGGTCACAGGCTCGGCAGCCAGGGAGCCCAGGTGGCCCCTGACAGCGTGACTTCAGGTCCTGAGTCAGAACCCTCTGCGGGAGTGTCTCCTGTTGGGACAGTCTGACGGGGAGCCTGTTGCTTTGGAAGCATGATTCTGGAAACGGAAGCTAGGAGTCGGGACGGTGTGGGAGATGACTTACGATCAGAGTGTCAGAGTTGGGGGACCTCAGGGCTCATGTTCCCCCACCCCCTCATTTGAGGAGACAAGCTTAGAGAGGCCAAGGGCTGGCCTAGGGTCACACAGGGACCAGATGGCAGAGGGCCTAACCCCACCTTCCCTCAGAGAGCAGCCTTCTGACAATGAACTGATCTTCAATTGTTCTAGTTCCAACCTCGTCTTTTCTAGGGGGACTCACAAAACCTCCGTCTTCTCTGACCCCTTTCCAGCAGGGCCTCCACCGCTGTCCCGCTGACTTCTGGGACAGCAGCCATGACTGTGAATGACCTTGAGGACTGTCCCTGTGGTGCCAAGTTCTAGTCTGCCTGCCTTCTTTGAGGCACCACCTAATTTTCCTGGGGCTCGGGGGGCTGCGCTTTCCATACTCAAACCCTGGCATCCTCTGCTTGGTTTCTGGTCACTCACTGACCCTGAGGGCTCGACGTGATGCCCCATGGGTGGGGGCGGGGAGGGGGAGCTGTTGGGAAGGGACCCGGGGACCCCGGGCTGAGTCTTAGGAGGACGCAGTGGTGAGGCCCCTCACACACTTGCCCTCTCCCACTTCTCCCCTTTCAGATCGAGCAGAGCTGGCTGGTCTGAGAGTTGTCCTAGCTCTGAGCGGGGGAAGGAAGCGGTGGTGGCCAGAAGTGTTCCGCCTGTGGTGGGGGTCTGTAGGCCAGAGCCCCACGGAAGGGGCGGGGCCCTCTCTGCCACCAGGGAGCCCGAGGGAGGGAGCTCCTATCCTTGCGTGATTCCAGATACCCCCAGATGGTTCCTGTGTGACCTTTGGTGCCGCAACTCCGTTCAGATGGTGGACGACCCGTGAGGCGAACAAACCACTTGCTGCCTGGGGGTGTCCAGCTTTCCCTGGGAAGGTCAGAGAGTGACCCACAGGCTGAATGCCAAAGTCAGCTCGGGGGGTGCAGGCTTGGGAGGGTGGGGCCCATCTCCTCTTTCCTTTGTCTCTCTCTCGCTCTAAGATTTTATTTTATTATTATTTTTTTTATTTGGGAGAGCACGAGCAGGGGAGAGGGACAGAGGGAGAGAGAGAAAGAACCCCAAGCAGGCCCCACCCTGAGCACAGAGCCCGATACGCAGCCTGATCCCACGACTAAAATCAAGAGTTGGACACTCACCCAACCGACTGAGTCACCCAGGCACCCCTTTTAAGATTTTATTGTGAAGTAATCTCTACACCCAACGTGGGACTCGAACTCACAACCCCGAGATCAAGAGTGGCATGCTCTACTGACTGAGAAAGCCAGGCGCCCCAACTCTCTCATCTGGCTTAGTTGCTGGGGCCTGAAGATTCCCCGATTGGGAGGGGTTAACTGGCTGTCGCCAAAGGCCTGGCGGGCCCCTTGGGATGTCCCCCCCTTCCTCCGGAGTGTGGGGTTTATGGTTAGTGCCACATCAGGCCTTCCACAGCCTCCCTGGACTGTCCAGGCCTTCACCCCTTCCCTGGGGCAGGTTCCCCCCCCCCCTGCCCCCCCCGCCCCAGGGAGTGGCCCTGTCATCATTTGTGAAGTTCTCTCCCATAGAAATGGATTTTAGGTCCGTGTGCCCCAGTATTTCCTGAGGTGAGGGTGTCTCTCAATCGGAATGCTTCTCTTCTAGCATTTGCCGTGTGCAAGGAGTGCCGCAGAGACAGTGACAGGGACAGAAGCGCATGTGATGTGGTGCCGCCTTGTGGGCGCTCTGGATGAGAGTCGTTCCCAGAACATTTTCAGACAAGATGCAACCAAGTCCCCTAGGGTGCCCCGCAGCCCACGCTCCTGGGGCACACCTGCCTCAGCCCTGCAGACCTGAGGGCTGGCTGACTCTGGTTCCCCTCAGTAAGAAACGAAAAGTTTTCTGGCCTACCTTCTTCCGGAACTTCCGCTTGCTAGAAGGCTTCGTTCTGTTGCTGCCAGTTCGGGAGCTCTTACGCGGCTGGATGGCAGCTGTGTTCCCCGCAGTGTTCCCCAGGACAAGAGATGGCGAGAAGGCCTGGGCTGGGAGAGGGAAGCAGAGGGCCAGACGGAGCATCCCCCGGACTTCTATGTTTGTGCAGCTCGCTGGGGACGCCTACGGTGGCTTTCTCGGGGCTGACACTGGATCCACATCTCCATGGCAGGCAGAGGACAGCTGCCTCCTGGCTCTGGGGCAGGGGGAGCGGGAAGGGGGATGTGCAGACACCCTGAGTCTCACACCTGGGACCGCTGTCTCCCTAACCCCCTCCTGCTTTCTTCCCGGTAGATGATCCCTCCTGACCAGGAGCTGCTGGTGTGGTATGGAAACTCACACAACACGTTCCTGGGGATCCCTGGTGTGCCTGGACTAGAGGAAGAGCAGAAAAAGAACAAGCATGGTAGGTAGTCTCCATGAGGCCACGATGAACCCAGAATGAGAGTGTGTGTGTGTGTGTGTGTGTGTGTGCGCGCGCGCGCGCGCATGTCTTTGCAGCAGGGAGGCTCCTGGCCTCCAGGGATCCTGGTTCCATCTCCAGCAGTATTGAGCACAGGAGACTATTGGCCCAAGCAGGCCGATGCCCCTGGAGCTGCCCCCCGCAGTCCCCGCATGAACGGCAGTGTGTTTCCTGGACAAAATAAATGATCTGGGGGCAGCTTCCGTGGGGAGACACCAGAGAGGCAGAGGGTGTAGCGGAAGGAGCAGGGGGCCCAGCAGTGGGAGCCTGGATTGAGATCCAGCTCTGCTTTACCATCTTGCCTCAGTTTCTCCATCTGTGAAGGCAAGATGGTGGGCGAGATGATCTTTAAACTGCCTTCCAGCTCTGGCGAAGTACATGCCCCTCCATCCCCGGTGTAGGGCCTGGGGCAGGTGCTTGGTATAAACATGTTGATTGAAGGTGGGGCAGAGTGTGCCTTGCCTCCGGGGGTCACCGGTCATCACGATAGAGACCACTTGCACAAGACCTATTTCATGCCAAGTTTATCGAGCTAAACCTTTTACAGGTTATCATCCCACTGGGGTCCTCCTAAAGCCCTCGCGAAATGTGGTCATCTTTAATTTGAGAGGACAAAGCTGAGACCCTGCGCTGCGGCTAATGTTTTGCAAACACTAATTTCTCTGATCCTTACAGCAGCTTCTGGGGCTGATGCTATTATTACTTCCATCTCAGCACTGAGAAAAATGAGGTGCAGTTCCCTGGTACATAACAGGCACCCAGGAAATATCTGTGGGATGAATAAATGGTATTTGGGGGGCCTTTTATGGAAGACAGTCATTTATAGAAGGCTACTTTGAGCCACGTACTTCCCATATACAGGCTAAGGGAGGTAAAGTGCAGCTTTTTGTGATCATCTGGACAAGTTGTGCATAGCCCCATGAGGTCGTAGTAGGTCCCCGTTTTACAGATGGGAACGTTGAGGTTTCGGAGGCGAAGTCACTAAGGCCTCGAGGTCTCGGCACAGTCTGGATCCAACTCCTATCTGACCCCAAGCCAGGCTCCTTGACGCCCCTCTCATCCCGCCCACCGGTCTGCTCCGGACCCCGCACCCGCCCGCCCGGGGCCATCGGAGGCGGGGCCGGGAGGAGGGCGCGCGTGGCGGCGGTGGGGGGGGGGGGGTGCGCGCGTGCCGGGCCGCGGCGGCGCGGGTCGTAACGAGCCTGCTCTCTCCCCTCCCTCCCCCTCTCCCCGCCTGCCCCCCCGGGGCCCCGCCCGCGCGGCCAGAGGACTTCCACCCGGCGGACTCGGCGGCGGGCACCGCGGGACGCATGCGCTGTGTCATCTGCCACCGCGGCTTCAACTCGCGCAGCAACCTGCGCTCGCACATGCGCATCCACACGCTGGACAAGCCCTTCGTGTGCCGCTTCTGCAACCGCCGCTTCAGCCAGTCGTCCACTCTGCGCAACCACGTGCGCCTGCACACGGGCGAGCGCCCCTACAAGTGCCAGGTGTGCCAGAGCGCCTACTCGCAGCTGGCCGGCCTGCGCGCCCACCAGAAG